CGAGCCCCCGCGCGCCCCCTTCCGCGGGGACCCCCCGGCTCGCCGGCGTCTCCGATGCTCGCTGCCGACCGAGCCGTCGCCGCCCTCTCGCCGCCGCCTGCCCTTCGTACCCGCTGCCTGAGTCCGGGAGGAGAGAATGACCGAGGTGCTGTGGCCGGCTGTCCCCAACGGGACGGACGCTGCCTTCCTGGCCGGCCCGGGCTTGCACTGGGGAAACGGCACAGCCGCCGCCACCGCCGCCGCCGCCGCCGCCTCCTTCAGATGTGCGCTGACCAAGACCGGCTTCCAGTTCTACTACCTGCCGGCCGTCTACATCTTGGTGTTCATCATCGGCTTCCTGGGCAACAGCGTAGCCATCTGGATGTTTGTTTTCCATATGAAACCCTGGAGCGGCATCTCCGTGTACATGTTCAACTTGGCCCTGGCCGACTTCTTGTACGTGCTGACTCTGCCAGCCCTCATCTTCTACTACTTCAATAAGACGGACTGGATCTTCGGGGATGCCATGTGCAAACTGCAGAGGTTCATCTTCCACGTGAACCTCTACGGCAGTATCTTGTTCCTGACGTGCATCAGCGCGCACAGGTACAGCGGCGTGGTGTACCCGCTCAAGTCCCTGGGCAGGCTCAAAAAGAAGAACGCCGTCTGCATCAGTGTGCTGGTGTGGCTCATCGTGGTGGTGGCGATCTCCCCCATCCTCTTCTACTCGGGAACCGGACTCCGAAAAAACAAGACCATCACCTGCTATGACACCACCACAGATGAGTATCTGCGAAGTTATTTCATCTACAGCATGTGCACCACCGTGGCCATGTTCTGTGTCCCCTTGGTACTGATTCTGGGCTGTTACGGATTAATTGTAAGAGCTTTGATTTACAACGACCTGGACAACTCCCCTCTTAGGAGGAAATCCATCTACCTGGTGATTATTGTTCTGACTGTCTTTGCTGTATCTTATATCCCTTTCCATGTGATGAAGACGATGAACTTGAGAGCCCGGCTAGATTTTCAGACCCCAGAAATGTGTGCTTTCAATGACAGGGTGTATGCTACTTACCAGGTGACAAGAGGTCTAGCAAGTCTCAACAGCTGTGTGGACCCCATTCTCTATTTCTTGGCTGGTGATACTTTCAGAAGGAGACTCTCCCGAGCAACCAGGAAAGCCTCCAGGAGAAGCGAGGCAAATTTGCAGTCCAAGAGTGAAGACATGACCCTCAATATTTTATCCGAGTTCAAGCAAAATGGAGATACAAGCCTGTGAAGGCACAAGAATCCCCAAACACCTCATTTGATACCATGGTAGGATGCTTAAGTACAGAGCCAGTACTTTTCTCACCCTTGAGTTTCTAGTAAGGTTATAAAAATCAAAACGAGAAAGTAGTGAATTCAAAAACTGTAGAAGCAAAAGTTCCCACGTCCAGACTTGGTTATTTGGGTTTGTCTTCAGTCTCTCTCCTGACTAGCAGTGTGTCCAGTAAAACAGAACTACATAGTTAAACATTTAATTTTCTTCTGCCTTTAAAATTTACAAGCTTTTGTAAAGCATGTGTGCACATGAGTGCTGGAGCTATTTTAATGTTGATAATTTCTCAAGCAAACTAGACATCCAAAACTTGAATCTTTTTATTTTTCCAGGCTCTATCAGTTTTAATGAACCATGGCATGAACGATTTGGAAATCCGAATTCTTAAAATGTTAAGTACAGGATATCAAAGTTCATTCAATAAGGAATGAGCAGACCTCTAAACTAGATGTCTTTTTCTGTTCCTTGCAAGCATAAATGGTAGCTGGCTGTATTTCTTTAGGGAATTGAGTAGAAAAGTAAAGTCAGTGAACATGAAAATCTGAAAATAATAATTTTCCAGTTATTTCTGGAAAACCACTCACTACACCTTGGGTGCTAAATGCTGATGGTGGAAGCCTGCACACAGAATCTTACCGGAAGATGCAATGAAGATGTCACAGTGCATCTGTTTTCATTGTAGACTCCATGAACCTGTTAGACCTCCTGAGATAAAGAGCATTGACTTGTACTACTGTTGTGCAAGAACTTAGGACTTTGTGTTCCAAGACAAGGGCTCACATCTGTAAAAACAATTTTACAAAACTCACAGTTAAGTTACAGACTAGAGTTGGAGTGAAGTTGAATAATTGTTTTCAAATTGAGGGGTGTGGGGCAGGAGAACCGTATTTCAGAAAGGATGTGGTTGGCAGTCATCCACAGAGCATAGCCTACAATATAGGCCTCTCACATGTAGGAGGCTACTGGAGGAGGACAGAAGGCCTTTTGGAATAATGTCTCTAAAATCATAGTGGAAAGATTCTTTTTGCTTCAAAATGTTTAAAAATTAAATGCATTATGAAAGGAAAGAGAAGTAGGCAGAATTTGTCTAGGCTGTGTTGATGAAATGGGAAGCTATGATCTGTTAATAAACTTTACATCCTAACAGAGATAAAGAAATGTACATAGAAAAAATTACAGAGAATGAAAGTACCATAGCCCTGAGAAGTAAACTGTGCAGCATGCTAATCAAACTACTAGTAATTAAAGAGAAGACTAGCCAGTGTATTTTGTATTTGTTCTTTGCCAGGCATTAATGAAAAATTTGTAAACTATCTCAACAACCTTAATAACAATTTTCTTTCTTATTTCTTACTGGTATGTGTTTGCAGTACATTATGATTTTTTAATTTTTTATTTTAAAGAGAATAAAAAATAACAAGATAACAGTAACATGGACAAAAACGTGGAGTTGGTACAAATATATGACACATCTTCATTCCTTTACTCAGCCCCTCCTTTTGTCCCTCCTTCTCCCTCCGTCATGAAACTGATTGATTTCTAGCCCTTAAAATAGTCAAATTTTTATATAATGAGAATAATGAGGAAATACCATTACCATAAATAAGTTTAGTGTCAAAGAACTTTTAGTTGTAAAAACTAGCCCTTATGAAATCCTCATCAGCATTTATAGTAGTCAAATAACTTATTTAAAAGCACCTTATAATTTAAGAAATGTGGGGTTGTAGCACACTATGGGACATAAGAAAAGGGAACTCAGGAATTGATGTCAGTTCTTGAAATGCCCAAGTAGATTGAACATTGATGAGATATTCAGAGCTGCTTCAACTTAATCTCTAGCCACTAAGATCAATTCTTTAAAAAGCTGTATTTAGCCTACTTGCACAGTGGCACTTTTTATAGGTTCAGTCTTAATGTATACGGCTGTAGAAACCAAATGTAGAAGAAACCTCACGCACTTCCTCATTTTGAGGTTTCCAGTTTCTCATGAGGCTCATAACAAAATTGTCTATTTTTGAATCCTAAAAAACACTCTAAAACACCTCTATTGCATTAGTCCTTTCACACATATGTTCAGTGAAATAAGATCAATATTGTTAAGCTGACCAAAATGGAAATTCCAGAGCCTGTACCATACCTGAACTCGCAGCTTAATGGTACACATTTCTGTACATTTCCTCACCATGTGATTTAGTTTCCTTCCTTTTAGGTCTCTGGAATCTTACCCTGGTTTTGAGTATATGTTAAGTGCATTGTTTCAGCTTCCAGAGAACTTTCTTTGAGAGTGTGAGTCTAGTTAGGAAGTGGACAGTGACTAGACCTGTCCTTTCACTACTTGGCTTGTTTTTTCCAAAGCGTTACTTTTCTTTCTTTCTTTTTTTTTCTTTCTTTGCATAGTCCTATGCATTGAACCTAGGTTAGCATGTTAGGCACCTACCACTGAGCTACATCCCCATCCACAAAAGTGTTTTGCTTTTAGCTTTACACATCACACCATGGGTAATGATGTGTGAGTATATGCCAAATAGTAATAAGAATGATCTTTCCAACTTCTTCCAGGCCAAGAGAAGTATCTGGAAAGATCTATGCTAAAGGTGAAAACATATAGAGGGTCAGGATGAAGCAGTGATCTGTCAGCTGAAAAGCTGATTCGTGCCATGTGATGATGTGAGTAAGTATTTTAATTGTAAAGGCAGAAATAGGTTGAAATTTGGATGGAAAAAGTTAAAAAACATGTTAGTACCAAGTTCAAGGGGTTTTATTGCATAGAAATCATGCTCTTTGACTCTTGAAACATCAGTCTGTATTTACAATGAAATAAAAATGCAAACCAAGATGAAATATACCATGAAAGTCAGAACTCAGATTTAAAATCATGATGTAACTGCTGGGCCAACTGTGGGACTCCTGACCTCTTGAAGACCATTCTTTATGGATTGAAAGGGTTAAATGACGTCCATTTGTCGAGGTGCAGGCAATGTGGCAAAGCTTGCAAAGTAGACAGGAGTGCAAGGAAATCTGCTACCCTGTTTTCCAGGACTCTCTAGTCTGGTCTTCGGTTAAATATACTTACAAGTTTCAGCAGTTGTGATGTGACAGGTCATAACCTGCAAGTCTTCTCTGTCTGCTCGTATAGTATGCTCAGCTGGGACTGGATGCTGTAGATGTTACTACTTACCCCAGCTGGAATTCAAGTAGTGACAATATTGGAAGATGCTACACTAATTAGGACCTGCTGAAGCTTTACCTTTGCTGGTCCAACTGCAACTATTGTAAAAATATTTATTGAAGCTCATAGTCTTTCAGTTGTACAGATTGAAATACTTTCTTGAAAGATCCAACATACTGATGTCAATTATATTTATTAAGATGTCACACTGGTGTATTTTACCTAATCTGTGATGCATAGATAAAATGAGAATTGTGTACCATGATGCTTTTCAAATATCAATATTTTAAAATGTAAATCTTCAGAATTTTGTAGGTTTAAAATAAGAAAATCTGTTTCATGATACAAGTGATTAATTTTCCCTAGAAATACATTTGCATGTTTGCCTTTTTGTTATGTCTTTCTACATGGACACGATTTGGTACAGTTTGGTATCAGATTATCCTAAGATTAATTGTGAATATAAAGTATCTTAGCCAGACTGGATCTGCATTGTCTATATTTTATATATATTATATATATATTATGTTGTCTTTTCTAGAGATTTAGAGGTTTAGAATTTTGACCTCAACTATGGTCAGAGCTTCTACTTTCAAAAGCAAAAGTCTTATCCTACATTCAGAGTTAATCTCTTATGGTTTAGAATTCGACAGGTGTGGGCATTATAGATGCAGCATTACAACTGAAGGACAGACTTTAGGGAGAAGAAGAGAGAAAAAGGCACCTAGTTCAGTAAGTGACTGTTGCTCAATTCTGAAGTATTTGCATTGTGTTTCCTCATGAACTGAAGTAGCACAATCTTAATTTTTTTGACATAGAGTTTTTGAGTAGCACACTACCAAAAAGTTGAACATAGGTGTTGATTTAAATCTTTTCTTTGTTCAGTTGATAATTTTAGTAACAAGTTTTTAGTGATAAATGCATTATTTGACTGCTGAACCCTGTTACAGTTTTTTTATTCTGTTGTTATACGTCGCATTATATACATCATCCCAAATAAATATGAAGGTGAATATATATATGTTGCATATCAAAATTTGTGAATTTGAGTTATATTACATTTTAGTGTTTTTGCAAAAATGTTTATTTTTGTATTATCTGTGATTTTAATATAGATAATTGAATTAGATTTCTTTGTGAGTAATAGTGCCATTGAATGAGTGGTATGAAACAGTGTTACTTGACATATTGAGCTTTCTCAGGTTTATCTGAATTGATGGTAGTTTAACTAGTTGCGCATAATAGTTTTTAATAAAAGGAAAGTACATTTCCTATAATAGCATAGTGCTGTTTGCATGCAAGAGTACGTCTTGTACTGTGTGTGTGTGTGTGTGTGTGCGTGTGTGCGTGCGCACACCTAAGGCATGGCAGCCAGCTTTGTATCCACTATTTGTAGTAACAGCAGAGCTTCATAATCCTGGGCACTAGAATTGTATTTACCATAGACAATAAAAGCTGAAAAAGATTCAATAAAACTATAAAACATGGCTTGATGGCTTCTGTCTTATTATAGTGTCAATATTCACAAGTTTCTCCAAACTTTTAACACGTCACAGTGTTACAGTCTGGCAGATAGTACAGGGCACACTGAACTAACTCAGTATTTCATACAGTGAAAATTAGAATATATCAGCTATAAGGGAAGTTAAAAGAAAAGTCCTGGTGCTCGAGAATTCATGAAATTTATTACTTCATATTTAATTACCAATAAGGACATGATTTAATTCTTTCAAGAGGGGCTGGGGATTTAGCTCAGCAGCAAAGTGCCTGCCTAGCAAGTGCAAGGTCATGAGTTCAATTCCTGGTACTGGAAGAAAAACAAACAAAGCAAACAAACAAAAAATTCTTTCAAGAAATATATTGAATGCTACCTTAATATTTCTTCTCATACTGCGTTTAAAATGTTTTCTCACTGGCATTTAATCCATGCAAGTAGCCAGACTAGTAATCTTTTGTGGTTTCTGTTTCTTAGCCTCAGTTTGTTGCTTTGTACGGGTGTATTGTTATATACTTTCTAGTACTACTTGAGTACAGTGTATACTGGAATGGAAGCATGCTTAAAGCATTACTTTTTACCTCACTGGTGAAGGTAGGTGTACAGTGGCCCTGTGTCTGTGGAAATAAATGCCCTAGAACAAAATAATGTGGGTATAAAATACAAACCTCTTGAAACCCTTAATGTATATGTCAGTCAATATTAAATCCTTAATGACATGTACTGTATAAATGTCAATGTTTGCAAATCCTTAGTAATGGCAGCTTTGGTGGCATTTTATAGTAGGTGTATGGGCAGGAGAGAGTGTGTCAGGGTATTTAGTACATACATAAATACTATGTAGATAATTATCTTTCTGATTTAAGAAGAACTTACCCTAAAACTGTGAATATTTTTTGGTTTCTAAATTACTCTACGGATAGAATCTGAATTTTTTCCTCCAGAATTAAATACACATTCTCATTCCTTTTCTCTCTCTCCCTCTCTCTTTCTCCTTCTCTCTCCCTCTCTCTCTAAGCCTTCCCTCCCCTCCTCTCCACCCCCCTCCTCCCCCCTCCTCTCCTCTCCTCCCACTTTAATGAAATAGAAAGTTTATACTTTCAGAAAATTTATATTTTTGGACCCATATAAAATTAGAGCTTCCATTTTGAAATGTAATCTTTTTCCTAAATTCAAAACAGAACTACTGTAATTGCAACCTGATGGGATGGGGCACTATAGAAACGACAGATGTCACTGGAAATCCATGTTACTGTGAGCAGTGTGCTTGCTTGTTTCGCACTGTAAGGTTATAATGCTTTGGGGTGCACCCTGGGGACTGCTGTCCCCTGCTAGCATGCCTACCGGGACAAAATGTCTGGTACAGTAGCTGTGATGGAGTCAGGCCTCTGAGATGAGCCACTGACTGTACTGCAGCCACACAGGAATGGAAATTGGGTAGGAATAAGGGGATGGGAGGCCGGTGGAGGCCACAGGTATTGCAGAGGCAAAAACATGCTACATACGCCTCTTGATAAACTGCTGGGGGAAATCACCTTTGTGAGGGTGGGTAATCCTTGGTGATGGACTAAAACAGAGACCTTGGAGATGATCCATCTAATTCCATCACTTTAGTTTGCAGTGAAAGCAAAATTTTCATTTGAAGATGGGTTGAGAAAAGAATGCAAATTGGTATGTTGGGTTATGCCCAGCCCTCTTTAGCAAAATGAAGTACTATACATAGGAGTCTATACTCAGTAAGGATTTCTGATTTTAGTCTTAGATGCACACATATACAACAAAATACACATAAACTTGTATGTGTCTGTGTCTCAGGTTGTAGTAGTCATTTTATTTTTATTCTGGACATGGTTTTTAAAAAATTGAGGTTCTCCACTGCTGTCCTTAGCATGGAGTGAAAGGAAGAAGGTTATGAGAAGTTGTTTCTCAAAACTAAAATAAATTACCGCATGCAGTCACTTGATCTTTTCTCTTTCAGCATTATGTTTTTCTGAAGCCTCAGAATTCCCAAAGAAATAAATTAAGGCAGCATTTAGCCTACATCTCAAGATGGCTATTTATATTTCAAGATGGGCTCGCTGAATCTCGATTTGTATAAATGTAAATAACAACTTACTGTTGTTTTTAACAACTTACTGTTTGGTGGCTTTGAACAGTTAGCCACAAACCTCAAACCTTCACTTGTGTTTAAGAACATAAGCCTTAGGTTCAGATCCACCTCTACAGTGCACTGCTTGTGTATGCTGGGCAAGTTCTTTACACCTTCAAGGCTATGTGTTCTTCAACTACAAAACGGGAGTAATAGTGTATAACTCATAGGATGTCAGAGAAATTAAATGAAATAAGATATACAAAGCACAAAATAAATACTTGATGTGCTATTTCGAAGTACAAAGGATTTTGTCACTGCTATTTTTGCTGTCTTCTTTCATACTATGGAGGCTTATGAGTCTCAGAAATTGTATTTGTAGGCTTCATAGATTTTTGGGTGCAGTTAATACTGTTCTTTTGGAAACTGATGAATTTTCTGAGATTGGATAATAAGCAGCTACTCACTTTTTATGCTTGCACTATGATATGCCCTATGTGGCACAAAGATGCATAAGATAAAATGTATCCAGCTTAAAATGTGTGTATGTATGTGCATATATATATATATATATATATATATATATATATATAAATGTGTGTATATATATATATATGCATACACACATATATGGAGGATCTGTTGACCTTACTTGCTGGGCCTCACCTCTCAGGCTCATGGTTTATTTTCTGTTACCCCAATCCAGTGTCTGGTCTTTTGCAGATCCAGAAACTTGATCTGAACAGTTCATCTAGAGTTCACCAACACTCAGAGACTGATTCACACCAGACTAACTGACAAGAGAATCATTTACCAGCTAGTCTGCCAATTTTGAGTATACAATGGCTATATCCCAGTCACAATAACAGACATCCGTCTTTTTGTTCAAGTAGAATCTAATTATGTATCAGAAAGATGCCTGTGAGCTTAAAATAAGAACAAAGATGGGTGATATTCTTGAAAAGCATTTCTAGTAAGAAAGCGGCTGAACAAATTTTCTGTTCCTGTAGATACTGGCCGTGCTAATCAGCACTTGTGCTTATAAACCTCAGTATTGCAGTTGCAAAGCCTTAGGTTCAAATCCAGCTCTGCTATTCATTACTTGTCTTTTACCTGATAATCAGCATCTAACCAGCACTCTGCCTGCTTGGGACAGCCTTAAGTAGGTGCATGGAGTGAGACTTTCATATTTGTTCATTTTATTATAGAATTGGTCACCACCATCATTACTTCTTGGCATGAAAATTATGTCTTAGAAATGTCTCCTACCTAGTGAGTGTGAGAGGAGGAGGGTGGTAGGAAGGGCTGTGATGCTTCCTAGGTTGGAGAAACTTAGGAGATGCCCAGTTGGAAAGGTGCAGTATGCCATTGCAGGTGTACAGTTCCAGGTAGAGCCATAGAAAGATAGAGGTTTGAGAATTGACAATTGGCAAATGATAGCTAAAACCAAGGAAGTAGTTGTAGTCATCTGGAGAGGATGTACAGACAAAGAAGGAAATGGCAGCAGCACAGAGCCATAAGCGGCACTCCACAACAAGGATGGATAGAGAAGAATACGAACAGGAAAGAAATGGAGTTTAGTTAAGATCCAAGAGCTTGCCTGAAGAAATTAGGCTCAGAAAAGAATTTATGAAAGGGATAATTCTGTGTCACTTAGTGCAAAAGAGGATTATAAAGATTGAGGTACAAAGGCTAAGTGTTACTGAGGGCACATTTAGGCTATAGAAATAGTAATGACCACTGAAGGCATGTCTTGGTTAAGAATTGGAGGAGATAACTTGAGGCAAAAGATTAGAAACAGAAAAAAGGATGAAAAGGAATTTCTAGAAGAGCTAGAGGAAGCAAGCTCCGTGCAGAAATAGAGGCTAAAAGAAGGGTTAGTCTAGGGAAAAATTAGCTATGGTTAGGAAAGCTGAATGACAGATCATCAGACTGGAGGTCATCGTTCTAGGACTAACACATATGATGGATCATTGCATTACAGGAAGTACATAAAAGTTGTGTGGTGAAATGATATTTGGTAGATGAGAACACAGATAATAGGTCTGGCTAGTAAGAATTAGTTGGCATTATTCTCAAAAGATGGATTCACATGGCATTTGAAGAATAATATGAAGAAGCATTAGGGAGCCAGGAGAATATCTGCCCCTTTTCTGGATATTGAGTATAAGGGTTAATGGAGTCTACCATGGAAAGGAGTGAGGGAAACAGTTTACTGGGGCATAAGCTTCATTTAGAAAGAATTATTTCTCCAGGATGCATACAAAGGAATAATAAGTCACAAGAGGAATACAAATCTAGATGTGGGAGAAGAAAAATGAACTAGGTAAAGTAAAATAGATAATAGTTTGATTATCAATAAATTTATACCAGGGATGTCATAATAAATCATGGGGCTAAAAGTTTTTAAAAGATCCTAGGGTGGAAATAATTGATATTGCAGAAGGAATTTTCACAGTAAGTTTTCCTCTACTTCAGGCAGATTGTACCCTCAGATATGTGGAGCCAGGAAAAGGGAAAGAAATTGGTTCCAGGCAGTGACTTGAGAACTTTTTTGATAGTTTTTAAAACATGGATGTAAACTCATCGACATCTTCTCAGCAAGAGTTGGAATCTATATGTTACCTCTTCTTGAATCCAAGGGGGTTTGTGACTATTTGGAACACCAAAGTATGGCAGAATGATGTAATATGCCTTCTGAGACTAGGTCATAACAGACCACATAGCCTTGTTTGTTGGAGCATTGTCTCTTGGAGCTCTGGGATAACAATATATAGAGATGACTAGTCTGAGAGTACATACTATAAACATCACATGGAGAGGTAAATTATGGTGAAGTCCATGAAAAGGAGAAGGTGGGGGATATGAGTGAGCCTCCCACCATTCAAATCATACCAGGCAGATGTCAGACAGGATGAAGAGGACTGGTCCAAACATGCAGCTGCTCTACTCACCCACAGCTACCTAAGTTTTCTTAGCGAGGCCTTAGAAATCATGTAACAGAGACAAACTTTACATAGTGAAATTTTTGTAAATTCCAACCCACAAAATCTATGAAGACACTAATAGTGCAGCTATTTTATGCAAACGAGTTTGGGAACACTTTGTTACAAGAAATAGAGACCTGGAACTACCCAATACTGTCTATAGCTGGAAATGAAGAGGTGGTGATATTTGTCAGTGTTATTGTTCTTTCTGACCTCATGTAAGTTTGACCAGAGTAAGGGTGGAGAAGTTTGAAGATTGGATTGACTTAGGAATATGTGGTAAATTCTCAACCAGGGCTGATACTGAATTGTATGCACTGGTACAGAGTACTAGATGATTGTTCACATATATCATGTTGATTAATGTTAGTGTTTAAACACAGAAGATACTTCAGGTGTAGCCCTTGCCTTCAAAACAGCACCAAGGATCTAATAGGCAGTTAAATTAACATGAGGCAATTTGTAAAAGGAAAATAGGGTAGTTGTGTCAATATACTGTGATTTTAAAAGGACTTCACACAGGAAAGAATTTTGATTGAACTTGAGTAGCCTGAAAAAAAATATATTCTTGGAGGAAATTGTTATTAAATTGGACTTAAAGGTAGGATACAATTTAATATTTAGGGATAAGAAATGAAAACATTACAGGCTTGCTTTTTGAATGAGCAAATTTAGTGAAAAGAGGATAGATTTGAGTAGAAAAAGGGAGAAAATAGATTCACTGTGGGTTTGGCTAAGGATGAGAGAACTTAGGCAGAATAAAAGCACACACTTAAGGAACTAGATGGCCAATGGTATTAGCTGTTAAGGAAATCCAAATTCCCAGTGACATAATACTACACCCTATCAAAATGACAAAAATAAAAAAGTAGTGACAATGCCAAATACTAAGAATGACATTCTCTCATACATTGATGGCAGAAATATAAAACAGACACTCTGAAAATGGTTTTTCAGTTTTTTAAAAAGTAAATATGTAACTACCATATGACTTATAAATTACCTTCCAGACATTTATCCTAGAGAAATAAAAATCTGTATTCACACAAAAACATACAAAAATCTTCACATAAATATTATTTGTGAGTGTCAAAACTGGAAGCAACTGAGATATCTTTTAAAACATTGCAGGTTAAATAATAAATATATAGAACTATATCATGGGTTAATATTCAACAATAGAAAAGAAACGAGCTATCGGTATAGCCAATAACCTGGACAAATCTCTATTGAATTATCCAAAAGTATATGTTCTGTATTCTTCTTGAGATAAGAAAATTACAGAAATGGAGACCAGATTAGTAACTGGAGAGTGTTAAGGAAGAAGCAGGGAGAGGGTGATAGAAAGTGGATGTGATAAATGACATGAGGATCTTGTGATGGCAATGTGAACGTTTTGACTGGGTCAGTGTCAGTATCCTGTTTATCACGTTGCATTATAGTTTTGCAAGCTGTTGCTCCTAGGAAAAACAGTAAAACGTAGTATCACTCTGCAATATTCCTTACAATTGCATGTGAATCTAAATTTATCAAAATAATTTTTAATAAAAAGCCTTTCAAAGTTTTAAGTTTTTCATAAGGAGTTTGAGTAAAAATACTTAAACGAAAATAATATTCAAACCTGGGAATAACTCAAATGTCTATCAAAAAATAACCAATTATGTAGATCCTTGAATATTATTTAGCAACAAAAGGGAACAATCTACTAATACATAAAACATGGTATACCTAAGCTGTGCTGAGAAAAGAAACCAGACACAAAGGAATATATTATAGACTATTATTCTAGGAAAAGACTGTGGAATAGGAAAAACTAACCTATAATGACAGAGAACTGATCAGTAATTGACAAAGGTTTAAACTGTGGACAAAGGACTGACTGCAAAGTTGCATAAGGGAATTCATGGAATGATGAGCATATTTTACGTTGTGACTGTAGTGATTGTTACAGGGATCCATCTACAATTGTCAATACTCATCAAACTGTAATGTGAGCTCATTTATTGATATACATTATTTCTAAATAAAGTACTTTATAGAAAAGGATAATGTGCCATTGAGAAATCAGAGATGATATGATTTTGTTGTTGTTTAGAATCTGTGGTGAGGGATAAATAGGCTCAGGAATCATTTTTTAGTAGAATGGCAAGATTCAGAGCAGAATATGGCTTCTCAAAAAGAGGAACACTCAAGGTTGAATGCATTTACAAGTTATGAGAACGCCATGTAAAAAAGTCCTGAAAAGATTGAGTCTCCATGGATAGTTGTTCAGAGGGCTAGGGTAGAAGGTACTAAGGTCTTGGCATGTGTCTCCACACTCAGAACTTCTGTTGTAGGAAGGGATCAACATCAGATGCCTGGAAGGCTCAAAGAAAGGCTAGACTGTGCCTGTACTTCCCCAGCCTGGCTGTCTCTGTCCCCCATTGCTGGGCCAACAGGAAAAGGAGATTACGGTGCAGGATTACAATGCAGAAACTCAGGAACATGGTGACAAGGCGGGCAGCGCAAAATGGAGACTAAATCCAGGAATGAACCAGAAACAGTCATGCCCAACGTCAGAAGTTTTCTCCTACTAATGTTTTACGCTCTTTACTTAAAATAGACCAGTGGGATTCAAATCCTAGGACAGATAATTATCAGCCAAGAAAAACTGCACAGAGTATTTAACCTTTCTCACTTGTTTCATAAAAGAAATGGATCCATAATGACTGTCTCATAAAAGTGTGAGTGGGGCTGTTTGTGGGAAGATCTTTGTAAAGCCACCCAACTGCATTTTTAAAGCTGCCATCCTCACATTCCAGCATCAGTCATCAGCAAACAGCATTCACTGAGCACTTAATAAGTGCCCGGCGAGAAATCTGGGAACTGTGGAGCCAAACTATGAAGTCTCATGTGAGGAAGTCAGTATAGAATGATCAAAGAAGCGAATAAGAGAGAAGAAGAACATGAAGTGTAAGGCATTCAGAAAGCAGTAGTGGTCGGTAAGTAAACAGAGAAAGGATGAGCATGAATGGAAATGAGGGATAGATAGAGATTCTCTCTTGGCACTAAGATTAGAGTGGAGAAGGAAGCCCTCCGGACCATTGCATCCTCAGGGACAGATTGAGGGAACTAGTTGCTGTGAAAGGCTAAGTTGCAATATACATTGATTGCAAAGTATGGTGTTTAGTGTGTGTCTTTGTTTATACTGTTACTGTTCAAGTCTCCAGCTCTAAAAGAACAAGCAGCCCCTAGTTGCTGGGCCATACTTCTCCAGCTGCTTCCAAATCCAATTCTGGCAAGCACAGCCATTCCCCACAGTATTCCTGTTAGCATTCACACAGTACTCATTAGGACCTGAAATCTCCACAGCCTTGTCAAATTCCATTATAAGACCCAATAAATCTTAACTTCCAGGCTGTGGTGTCTGTTTTCATATCAGTTTGATTTTACAATCAGCTGTTGAAAATGTTAATCTTCTCTGCTCTGAAACTATTTTTTTTCTCTGTGATAAAAAATTACCACTTCATTGGGTGTCTGGCTATTTAAAAAAATCCTCCATATGTATTCAACAGATAATTGAAATAATGGATTTTCAACTGATTAATAAGTTAAGTTATAAAGTATTTCAATTGTCATTCTTTTCTATATGTGGTTCATTTCAGAAATATCTAAATGTATCTTCTGGTTCTACCAAAAGAGAAAGTAAATAAAAGTAATAATATAATATTGGAAACATTTAGAAGTCATAAAAGTATATTCTTTGCATGAGAACCAATAATTTTTCATAAAACCATAGTTGGTTACAAGTATACATGAGGAGGGATGGGGATTTAGCTCAGCAGCACAGTGCCTGCCTGGTAAGCATGAGGTCCTGAGTTCGATTCCCAGTACCAAAAAAAAAGTATATATGAGGAATAGGACCTTGGTGCTGCCTAATTACACCATTTGAATAATGTGAAAATCCCACAATAAATTTAATTCCAAATTACTACTGTGACTTTCAAGATTACTTAAAATTTAATGTCTTTGCTATGAAAAATACCCTAATTTCCTGTTTTCAAATGTTTTATAAGAAAAATTTGATAATGATTTTTAAAATACAACATTGAAACCCAACAGCAGCAGAACATTTTCTTCAGTACAAATTGTATTATTCAACTGAGTGAACTCTAGTTTCTAAATCTATAAAAAATGAGAAAAATTTAAATTGTATATTTAATTTTATCATAATTATATTTGGTGTCATTTAGAAAATTCTGTCAAATGATCTGAATACAAATTTATCTCTGAGATCTCTGAAGCTTCATAGGAATAAAATACATGCTCTCAAACTTTGAAAGTTATATTTTGTATTTATTTGCCAAAAAAATTGTACATTTTTAACAGTGACCATGTAAAATTTCCTTTATGATTTTAATCAGGATTCTTCATTTAAAATGTTGCAATATGATCAGAAATTTAAACTACATTTTTTCTGTCTTTTACTTTTAGCTGATATACAAAAACATAAAGTTGTACATATTAATGGAGTACCATATAAGATCTGTGCATGCATGTATTACATAAAGTTTAAGTCAGATTATCTATTTATCTCCTCAAAATTGTCAATCTTTTGTGGCAAATACTTTCAAAATCATTTCTTCTAACTTTCCCAAATGTACATACTTATATTCTATTAAGTACATACTTATATTCTATTAAAAAAAGAAAATTTTTGCTTTGAACACCAAAACACTATATAGAATGTTCTAGGCCTAGCAAAATATATTGTGTACATATTTGTGTGAGACATTCTAGGATGGAAATTTAGGAGGCACATTAATAGGAGTAGTTAAGTAGGCAGAGGATGAGGTACAGGGTGTAGCCTGGGGCTTAGACAATTTCCAAATTTCCTGTTTGAGCAATGATTAGGATAAGTGGTGTGGCCATTCAGTAGATCTGGGGGAAGTACAGGAGAATTAATGATTTCTCTCTTTTGAATAATTGGGGCCCAAACTTACAAATTACAAACTTACAAATCAAATTAGTTTTGTATTTTATAGTTTCCTAATTTGCTTTATTTAAAAGTCTAAATATAGAGTGACATTTAAATATATTGAATTAATATTGCTTTTGGAGGATAGCAGCAAGTTTTATTACTGAATGTGATCGCTGAAGTCATCTGTTTCAGACTTAGGCTACCTGTAGAATTTTATTAGCAAAGGATCATATTTTATGCGTTCAGCAGAGACACTGGTGATATAAAATCGATGAAGAGTTGGGGGATATAGTTGACTACAAGAGAGACACAATTTCTCCTCTCAAAGTGTTTACATCTACTGGGGGGGATATACATGATGAATAGTCTGTAAGCTAATCTTAGAGAGTGACAATGTTATGAAAATATGCCTGTCTGAAAGGGTCTTGGTCACTTCTTTGTCAGTGAGACTCAATAACCAGTATCCACCAGTTCGAGAGGGAAAGGTTTATTTTAGCTCCTGGTTACAGTTCCTGGTTAGCCTGCTCCAAGGCAGAAATGCCATGGTGGAAGGGCCAGGGCAGTGGAAAGGGGCTCACATCATGGTGCCCGGAAAACAGTGAGCTAAGGGAGGAGCTGGGGAGGGAGATACTCTCTTCTGGGTCATGCCCAGTGACCAGGCTTCCTAACATTACATTCAGCTGTAATGCCCTATGATCCAGTCACCTTTCAGATGAGAGTTTTGAGGGTCATTCTTGATCTAAAGTATTATGAAAGAGCTGGCATTTGACCTGAGCCTGGCATACTGAGAAGCTGGTGGAGATCTGGGGGAACACCTTTTAGCAGTAGACTCCAGATTTTCTGCGCAGGACAACAATCTGGTTGGAAGAAGTGTGAGGGAACTTTGACATAACATTTTCTATGTAGAACACATACTTGGTTAATTTAGAATGCATACTTACTTGAAGTGTGAAAAGCTGATACAAAATAAGGTGTGGCTAAGTGCACTCCGTTCTCATCCACCAAGCAGTACTTTGGACTACCTTGGTTCCAAACAGAGAGAACAGCAATAGTGAAATAATAAATGCACAAACACAGGAGCTGGCTTGGCTCCCCCGGGAACATGCAGAAGACCAGCTTGGCTGGAATATGAAGAAACAGAAACACATTCTCAGAGATGAGCTCAGGGAGTCGGGCTGCACATTGCAGCATACCCAAGCTGACAGACAATGGGAAGGGGATTGGAGGACCTTAAAGAGAACTGATGGGGAGGGGCTGTGTTTTGTATATTAAGCCCTCTAGTTATCATCAGATACAGTTGCCATTATGGATTGTCACTGACAGAGGAACTTCATTTAGAAAGAAATAGGACAAAATATTTATTGTTTACTGCCCTTGCTTTTATGTTTTAAAATATTCTTCTTCAAGCTGTTTCTAAGTCAGAGATACTGTACTACTGTGCATCAGTATTATACCAAGGTGCGCTGCAGGTCACTCTTCAGAGGAGAAAGCCTATATTATCCCAAAATGGCATCTTCTGACTGTGAGTGCTGTATTTTAATTTGTGTTGGGAACAGATGTACTTTTCACCTATGTGCTATTATTCTTAAAATTTGGTGACCTAATTAAAAACTAACTACGATCACTAAACACGATAAAAGAGGAGACACTTCCCATGACTGGTGAAGCTATGCACTTGCCTCAGGACATAAGTAATGTTTTTCCCAATAAGGGGCTCAAATGTCTGAAAATGCTGAAGTATTTTCTTTGTGGAAGGTTAGGAATATTCGATTTTTAAATTCTTCTTCAAGTTCTACAAATAGCGAATCATTTTTCAGGTTTTCTAGCAATTTTCATTGTGTACAAGTAGATGTATCAACTGCCAAAGAATGCCATGATGACTTTTTTAACATTGTGCTGTAAAATTTAAGAAAAAAATGGCTTTTTAAAGTTATACAATCATAACAAGTAGAAACATGGTCATTGAAACCCAGTCTCAAGGGATTTTAAGATTGAACACAATTTACAGCCAGTTACTTTTTAGTCACTGAGACCAAATCCCTGAAGCTTGCCACTTAGAGGAGAGGTTCCCCTTGCTCAGAGTTTCAGTCCATAGTGGGCTGGCTCCAAGGCAGAAGTGACATGGTAGAAGAGGAAGGCAGAGAAAAGTGACTGAACCCATGGCAGCCAGAGGGAGAGAGAGCAAGGAGCCACAGACACGAATACACCCTTCCAGAGCAAGCCCTCAGTGACTCCTCCTCCCACTGGGCCCAAGCTGCTCACAGCACACTCCACATTAACTTATCAGTAGGTTAGCACCCTGATGAGAACCACCTTCCTCCATGACACAGTCCCCTTCCAGGAGCCCTGCCTCTGAACACTTGAGACTGTTGCAGGACATTAGTGATCTAAACCCTAACTGCTGTTCTGGATGCCATCCAGAAGAAAACAACAGAATGGTCATTAAATGGATGCTCTGTATAATCAAATTGTTTACAGTCTGGTTAATGAAGCAGTGCAGACCATAAAATGTTTCCAAGGAGGAGAATTAAGATAACACAGCAGTGGAAATGATATCACAAGGCAGCACAGGTGTTTGAGTACCAGACAGCTCTGCAGATCCTTCAGTGCAGTGGGGCCTGGAGAAGCCTCCATTCACTGAGGGAGGCGCTCAGGCCTGGACATTTTCAAAGAGTGCACACACACAGGCGTCTTCAGCAGCCTGCACCTCACCACGGTCAGAGGAGGGTTAAAGTTTACATTCAAGAGCAGAAAATGCAGCGGTCCCAAGCCAGCTTTGCCACAACAGTTCTATCCCCTTAAAAGGAAATGTTTTTCCTCCATAATAAAAAAGAACTTTGATTTATCCCATACTCTATTATTTTATCTTTAGTGAGCAGACATTTTAAATTGCATGCTTGTAGCGCTTCTGAAAGAATCCTTTCAGAAATCCATCATTAGGGTTTTTTTTCCTCTTTAGCGTGACTAGACCCTCCCTCGATGTTCTTTGCCACAGACTCAGAAGGCATTCAGAGATGCAAG